CCACAAGAACATTGAACTGATACTAGGCTTTTAGGATATGTTCGCAAATCCTTTATCTGCGAATTTGCTTTGGCAAGGAATTGACTTCTATAATGAGTTGAAATTAATAATATGCTAACCTATAGGGTAAAGATACTCCAACATTATTAGTTAAATATGGACAAGGGAGGCTGGGCATTTGTATGACTATTCATGACAGCCCCTCGGTCCCATAATAGGTGAGACCACCATGTAAGAGGGAGACCTGGACCATCAGACTTGTTTGGTATGCCAGGTTAGAGGGCTGGACCCTTGCCTCTTACCACCAGATCCCCAAGGAAGGGTGTAAATATATGATCTTATGTGTGAGGAATGGTTAAGATATCACTTTTAATTATATTTTTGCTATCTTTTGATGTGGTTTGGCGCTTTTTTGTCTTTGCTAATGAGCTAATAAAAGTAGTTACACTGTGGGCATAGCAAAGCTTTATCTCCAGTGTGCACACCCAGGTTCCCAAATAGACATTGAATGTAATAACCTTGATTCTATTGTGCTGATTCTTGAACTAAATCTTACAATCCCCCAGTTCTGTAGATCAGTAATAATCAATAACCACTAATGAATCAGTCTACGTTTGAAAGGAACAGGGAAAAAGCAGTTATTGATAATGGAATTGTCATGCAGGCTTGCTTGTGCTTCCTGAAGAACAGGGAAGGTATTATAGAGGTTTAAAAATTTGAGCTAAATCAAACCCAACGTATAATGAGCCTGAGGCACAGTGGTAATCTATTACACCAGTTTACCTTCAGAGAACAAAAATCACAGGTAAGTGACTCTCCCTGTAACTATCTTTTTTTTTTTTTCTTTTTCAGTCCTGACTCTTCCTATGAGACTATGATTAGTAAATGGCCATCTGTCTGGGTGAAGATATCTTCCAGCTGGATTGGCATTGTGCTGTATGTGTGGACTCTGGTGGCTCCGCTGGTTCTTACAAACCGTGACTTCGACTGAGCTGTGCTTCTCCTTTGAACGCTTCAGTTCATTTCACCATTTGTTGAAATTAACAGTATTCCAGACTAAAATGTAGTTGTAAATATGTGCGTGCTTGCTGCCCATGTAATAGACCGTGCCTTGTTCTGCATGATTACCATTAGATCATGTCCTCTTGCCATTTCACTAAATGACTTTTCTAGCCAAGCTCAGTGATTAATTACTATGCCATTGGTTTTCATAGGAGTACTTTAGGTTTAGTGCTGTGGGTGAGGTAGATGTAAAATCAGTCAGTTTGTTGTATTCCCCTCCCTCCCCCAATGCTGCGAGTAGCAAAGGGTACAAGAACAATTGGGTTGGAACTTTATTTAATTAGATGGAGTTAAAAACAGGTTTTATAGGAGGAATTTTAAGCAAATTAGGGCTACTTTTGACAATTCATGTTGCCTTGTTTTCAAAGTCAGCCTTCAGTAAGTATTGAGCATTTAGGTCAATTCAAAAGGTGCATGTTACACTTCTGTCTGATATCTTGCAGCCTTTTGGCTATGTCTTGTTTTCACCACGTAATATTATGTTAATGTATTTAGCTTGAGTCCTAAATGGAAGGAATTTGAACCTACACTTCTCTGAACATTCTCTTCGGAGCTAGTGTATTAGACGTGCCCTATTCCTGACAAAAGGACACAGGAAAAATAAACATGGTGTGAAGGTTTGGCCCCAGGAGTCAAAGATGTATATTGTAAACCTGTCTTAAAGTATTTAAAAAATACTTTATATATTGCTAAGTTATACTCTGATTCTAATCAAGCTGAGAGGTTGCAAGGAAAGTAGCAAACCTGTTCGCAAAGGATAATGTGTCACTGGCTGGGTGTGACAGCACATGCTTATGATCAGAAGTTTGGAGAAAAAGGAGTACTGAAGTTAGTCATTAGAGACTTGCATTTTATAGCTGGCTTCTACAAAATTATTTAATCTTTAAGTTCAGGGTATTAGAAATTGATCTGTTTTAATATCTTATGGTACCTGTTTCTGCTGGTGTGGACATGTGCCTGGAAAATAGATGTGGGCATCAAGTTAACTAGTTGGGCTGATTTAAAAAAAAACCCAAAACTTGTACAGTTTTGTGCAGTTCTTGAAAATTTTAAATGCTATTGTGCTTGCTGCTTTGTAATTAAATAAGCTGTGGTGTGTGTATGTATGTGTGCATGCTCTGCTGGTGGTTATGTTGAGACTGACAATCTCAGTGGGAGTGAACCCAGAGCTGTACTTCAGCAGTCATCATATAAACTACCATATGGTGTTTCTACTGCTGTCTCATGTAGCTAATTCTTATCTCATATAAGAGTGTTATTTTAAATTGCTCAAACACATTGGCATAGGCTAAGTAAGACTGACTTGTTAGTCAGAGCCAGTGACATTTGGAGGCAGCTGAAGCCAATACTGTGTACAGTCATTTTGAACATATTACCTATCAATAAACAACTTCAGATAAAGATGTGGTTTTATTTTCTGATGGCTACAAATTAGTCAGGGATGCAGTTTGTATTGAAGACTAAACTACTAGAGTAAAAAGTGCTACAAACTGGTGTTTAAAAAGTTCATATTACATGAAGAGCTTTTTCAACAGCAGGGTTCATGAGGGGTTCCACCCCTTTCTGCCCCCAGTGTAGTGTGACTTGCACCCAATGGAGATAAACTGCTATAGTGCAAATTGCCTGCACTCAACATTTGCATAGGTGGTTAACTTCCTACCCCAGATAAGGCTATAGGTAGATGACACCATCTGACACTTGGTTTATAATTGTAGCTTGAATCACATACTTTATTAACATTAAATAGTGGCAACAAACTAGGCTGCTGATTAAAGGAAGGATAAATGGAGCATTGTATGATTGAGGGACAGGCTTTAAGTCCTGAGCCACTGAAAACAGAAGCATTTATGTCTTGACTACACTTATTGGGCTCATTTGGTTCCATCTAGTACAATTAGCAGTAGCAACAAAGGGGCAGTGCTCACTTTAATTTGGAATGACTTTTACTGCTTCCAGGTTCTATACTCCTACCTAGCTTAATTAGCTAAGGGTTTTCTTCACTGCACTAGTTACCTCAAGCTTTTTAGTTATACATTGAGTAATATTAAGGACAGGAAGAGAACACCTATGTTGCATTTCAGCCAGCTGTCTGTACCTTCACTACATTCAGATTAAATGTAGTCTTGTACATCATCCCCCTGAGGACAGGTGCCCAAACTTTGGTTTTAACCACTTCTTATGGTTTGTGAACTCCCTTCTTTAAATAGAAGGGATAGAATAAACTCACCTAAAGTTAGGTGACCTTATACAGGAGCAGTGAACAGCCTGAACACTGTGAAAACTACTAAGCACATGCAGCTCTTCAACATGCTAGGCCTAGTCTCTGGGTTGTAATGAACACTGCAGGTGTGGTGCTACCATACTTGGAGGAGGGGAATATGTGTAATTAAAACAAATCTCTTAAATGGTCTAACCTCCATCAATATACCTTTCCATTCAATTGTTTCTTTTAGGTCTGCCTTCTGTTAGATACTCTAAGCCAGTGGTTCTCAAACTTTTGTACTGGTGATCCCTTTCACATAGTAAGCCTGAGTACATCCCCCCCTTATAAATTAAATACTAATATTTCACACAATTATAAATGCTGGATGCAAAGTGGAATGTTGTGTGCTGTTGAAGAGCTACTTCCTTCAAACCCAGAGGTGGCTGTATTTCAGTGGAGGCTGAAAACTTTCGTGTGCATACTGGCTTCATATAGAGTCTCATAGTATTACAAACACCCATTGTTAACTCAAATGCAGGTCTCTTGCCAGAGCAAGAGACTCAGTTCTCTACTCAGGCAAATATCCATTGACATCATGGGTTTGGGGTGGAGGCTGACAGCTTGTGACTGTCTGAGGGGTCCCAACCCCCAGTCTGAGAACCTCTGCTCTAAGCAATATTTAGTGAAATTAATTTTATAAACTAGCAACTCAGCTAACCCATTAAGAATGTTTAAATAGCACATCTTTTCATGCCACAACATCAAAATTGTTTACAAGGTGAGTCCTCCTGTGGTACAACAGTACATATACCAAATAGAGGCACCCTCAACAGGTGAAGCCAGGGGCCTCTGATAGTGAGGAGTGCTATATACTGAGCTGCTTCCATGTTAGTTGACTGTTTCCTCTCAGCTAGTCAAAAAATAAGTGCTATATGAACTTTTACTTACCAGTAGGTCTTAATGTATTAAGAGCACTTACTGCTATGCTTGCCAAAAGGTACTTGTTTGAATAGGATAGTGCCTTCTGAATGAGTATACAGTAGTAGCTTTCTAAATACATTTTACAAATTCCATTAATGAAAATATACTCAGTTACTATGGTTACATCTACACAGGGATAACCCCCCTCCCCATGGCTGGCTGGCTCAGGCTCAGAGTGAAAGGTCCCAGAGCATAGGCTCCAGTCCAAGCCCAATTTTTAGCCCTATGAGTTCAAGTCCACTGACCTGAGCCAACTCCAGCCATGCTATTTTATCCTTGAGCAGATGTACCCTACATCTACAATACATTTGTTTACTGGTGATGGAGAAGATGAGTCAATGCACAGAAACTGGTGAGAAGGAGATTTTTTTTCTGCCTGATTCAAGTAGCTCGAAAACAGGTGTTTAACTCACATGCTACAAGATCCCTAACAGTGAACACAGTATTATCTATATATAAAAACAGCATATTTCATGCTCAATGGTATCAAAACAACCTATTTTTATTACTATCTCAGCAAAGTGTACATCTTTCACTTAATACATAGCTCAGGTAGAGTCTGACCTGACCTTGAAATTTATCCTACCCAATTACTGGTTTAAAAAAAAATTGTTCTGAAACTGAAAACAGACTGTCTTTTGTGGCATACACTAGCATGGATTAAAGTTATTTCATGTACAGTAGTTCATCTGAAAATATGTTCTAAGCACTGACTCAAAGTGTAGACAATGTAAAAGATGACCTCTAACAAGTGTCACACCTAGATAACATTTATTTTATCAAAGTGGATGGTTCAGGTTAGAACTCATGCATGCAAGTGGCTCCTGTCTTAATAAATAAAAACTTCCATTTCTCTTCTGTCATGTATGATTACACTCACTGAAAAAACTAAGGCAGAACCAAAGAGTCAACTAGGTAACAGGCACTTTGTTCCCAATTCAACCAGAAAAAAATACAGCTCAACTCAGGTCTTGATGCACCCCACCCCCCAAAAAACGTTTTTTAAACAAAAGGTTGTAAAAATAGAAAACCAAAATACAGAAAACATTCAGAGTTCTACACAATACAGAGTTATTCTACTCAATCATACATAGAACCAAAAAGTCTAAGAGTGTAAAACAGTCATTCTGACATGAATTTTCATTACTTGGGATATTTTGTATTCTCTATAAATACCAAATATTTGACAAATTAAAAAAGGTTGGTAACTTAGTCGCATATACCAAGTCATACTATGGTCTATGATGTCTTGTATAAGTACACAACTACTTACACATATTCAAAGAGCAGTTTGTGGGGAGAAGGATAGGAGAGAGATTCCACAATAGCTGGTTATAATAACCAAAGAATTTACCAAAAAACCCAGAAAGATACCAAATGATATCCTAAATAAATAGTTTGTTTTGATGAATATATACAAAGTTCCTGCTATGTTAGTTATCCAAGAATGGCATATCTGTGTCCATGGGGGCAGGAGCAAGTTCACATAAATAAAACAGTGTGGCTTCACTTGCTTCCGCCTCAGTCAGTGGCTCCAGCCGCACTAACTTGCTTTGAGTTGGTTCAGGGTCCAGGCTGCTTTCCAGAAGCTCATCCACTTCTAAGGGTTTGTCTAGGGAGGACATTGTTTCAGATGTGGAATTTCCACCCTCAACAGTTGCACCTGGACTCCCATCAAGGAATGCAAGGAGTGGAAAGGCAGTATATTGAATGAGCTGTTTATCTACAAGGGAAGAAAAATAATACTTCAGAAACTCACTATTAGTTTATATGCACAGTCCTAATTCCAAAAATGTTAGTGTACTTTTTACAAAGCAAACCACATTATAAAAATTTTTGAACAAAAATGGTTACTTTTTAAAAAAATTGGGCATACTATTGAAGTGTTGCAAGAAACAAAGTAAACAATGTATTGTTCAGATTTGTCGGAAACACCAACATTTAATCAGTTTTGTCTTTGCATCTGGTGCAATGCGAATTCTTCACAGTTAACATGACAAGAACCAAAATAGTTATCAGCATGAAGCAATCAAGCAGATAAGACCTGACTAAGCAGGATCTTTGTTTTAACAAGAACTTCACAATTTTTCCTCTTACATCTTTTCAGCTGAACAACTATGAAGCTCTTCCTGCAAAGAAAGCCATGCCATTCGCTGTACTAACCTGATTTGGGCTTAGAACTCTGTGTGTCCTGTGAAGCAGGCTGAGGTCCATTACTCTTTGTAGTTTCTATTCCTTTTGTCTCCAAATGAAAAAAGAAATTGAAGTCAAAACTTAATCTGAAACAGGCTTTAAAAAACCCAGTCTGCATAAGTAACAAAAAGGTAACAACTGACGAATCTTGACAAAGTCTAACTAACTATTAAAATAACCTGCACTAGCCTGTAAAAACATGATGTTACAACTGTATGGCAACTATTCATGTGGCTTAATGGATGCTGGTCTAGAAAATAACATGAAGTGAAACAGTGGTACCATCCAAGTAGGAACTGAGACAGATTAACATTTAGGGAGGATTACTGTTCTACAGTTAGACCTCAAATCGGAGGAGCATTAGCTTCTCTTCTTGGTTCTGCTATAGGCGCTAGTTTCACTTTCCTCATCTTTAAAAATGTTTCCCCTAGATACCATGGTGATGAGCATGGTATAAACTTTTATCCATCCACTCCTTCCCCCAATTTGTGCTGTTTTTCCCTTCCAGCTACAAAGCAGAATAGGAATAAGTTCAACTGTAGTTTTTGCATCCAAATTAGAGGTTTTATTAACAAAATATGAAAATGTTTGTTCACTTCAGTAATGGACACAGCTAAAGGACAAGTTGTTCACCAACCTCCAACTGTGGCCTTGGCTACACTTGCAAGTTACAGCGCAATAAAGCAGCCCACAGCGCTGTACCTCACTCTCTGTCCACACTGGCAAGGCACGTACAGTGCTGTATCTCCCTGGCTACAGCGCTGCAGGTACTCCACCTCCCCGAGAGGAATGAGAGATGCAGAGTAGTGGCTACAACTCCCTGGTGTCAGTGTGAACGAGGAGTTAACTTGCTGCACTGTGATAATCCCCTTATCAAGTGGCCACTCTTTTCATTGTTGCGATCTGTGGAAGTGCCGTTTCAAAGCTCCATGCCAGAGAGAAAAAGCAAACATTTTGCGGTTTGCTTTGAGTGAGTGAATGAGAAGCAGGGGGAGCGAGGG